CCCTCTTTCTCCCTGTCTCCCTCCCAAACCAATCCTGGTGGCACAGGCATAGAGATTCCATGTTAATTTTGTAAACGACCCCATGTGGCTTTGGCTTACTCATACATACGCAATGTAATGACCTTTCATCAGTGTGTTCATTGAAGCCGCGCACTCTGTTATTTAATTTCAAGTATTTCATTCCATGCATTACGTTGAACTGTGTGTTCATCCATAGCGTTTTCATGTTATGTGTGAGGGAAAGAGGGAGAGGGATTTGTCGATATATTGGTGTCTTATATCATCGGCCAGCTGTTAGATTTTCCAAGCTCAAATTTTTAAAATGTTTTCGCTTCTTGATGCCTGAACAAACTAAAAAAACAACAAAAACAAAACAAAAAACAAACAAACCCTGCAACAAGAAAAGGTACCTAACGTGAACGCAGTGTGTACAAGAATTGAATATATTTTTTTTCTCTTGGAAACAAAAATGCTTTCTGGGTATAGGATATTAGTAGAACAGTTTGTTGCCGAAAACATTTTATGTCATAGAGTTGGTGAAAGAACCCTATCAGTTTCGTCTAACGGAGGATCAATATCTAGTATAATTATGGTCTTATCTTCTATAATCTTATCACAGCAGGTGGTTGGAAAACAAGGCCGGTGGATCCTACTTCTTTTCTTTCCCTCTGTTTAGTTTCTGGCTCTCTGGTTTTTCCAGACTAAATTATAGCTGACGTTGTGTGAATGAATAACTTTTCTCAAATTTAAACTCAAACTATCTTATAAATCTCCTTTGTCCCCAGGTTCTGAGTGAGCCAAACAGCAGCGAGCATGGACGGGGGCAAGAGGGTGTGGGTTCCACACCCGATTGAAGGCTTCAAGCTGGGCCGGATAGTTGACATCGGCTCTGACAGCATCTCCATCGAGCCTTTTGATGCTCCGGGCACTGTGAGTTCCCTACACTTTACACACCCTGTGCTACACTCTATACACACTACTCACCTCATGATGTGCTACACATTACACACTGCACATCTCCTGGTATTCTAAACTTTCGATGCTGATGACCATATGATACCCTACACACCACACACTGAACATCTGCCCCC